AAAAAAAAAAAACAACTCTGAGATATGATCTTGCTCCTGTCAGAATGGCTAAAATCAAAAATACCAGGGACAATTTATGCTGGAGAGGATGTGGAGAAAGGGGATCACTTCTTCAATGCTGGTGGGAGTGCCAACTCCCACAGTCACTATGGAAATCAGTATGGCAGTTTCTCAGGAAAATGGGAATCAGTCTACCACAAGATCCTGCAATTCCTCTCTTAGGCATATATCCCAAAGATGCACATTCATACAACAAGGACATCTGTTCAACCATGTTTATAGCAGCATTGTTTGTAATAGCTAGAACCTGGAAGCAATCTAAATAGCCCTCAACAGAAGAATGTATACAGAAAATGTGGTGCATTTTCACTATGGTATACTACACAACAGAAAAAAAAACACAATGGAAACATGAAATTTGCAGGGAAATTGATGGAACCTGAAGAAACCATCCTAAGTGAGGTAACCCAATCACAGAAATACAAACATAGAATGTACTCACTCATATATGTATTTTAGACATAGAGCAAAGGATTACCAGCCTTCAATCCACACCTCCAAAGAAACAAGGAAACAAGGAGGATCATAAGGGAGATTGGTTCCCCAGTGAAGCAGAAAAGTCAAGAGCTCATGAAAAAATTGGGAGCATGAAGGGAGTGGGGGAGGAATGGAGAAGAAAGAGGAGGGGAGAAAATGAGGGAGGAGGAGAACATGAGGGATCAAGAAGGTTGAGTGGGGAGAGGAATAGAGGAGACCAAGAAAAGAGACACATCAATAGAGGGAGCCACTATAGGTTTAAAGAGAAATCTAGCACTAGGGAATTGTACAGAGATCCACAAGGATAACCCCAACTAGGAACTTAAGCAATAGAGGAGAGGCTATCTTAAATGCCCTTCCCCTATAATGAGAATGATGACTACCATAAATGCCATTCTAGACCCTTCATCCAGTAGCTGACAGAAGCAGAAACAGAGATCCACATCTAAGCACTGAGCCCAACTCCTGGAATCCAGTTTCAGAGAGGGAGGAGTGACCAACAAAGGGGTCAAGACCATGCTGGGAATACCTGCAGAAACAGCTGACCTGAGAAAGTGGGAACTCATGGACTCTACTCTGACAGCTGGGGAACCAACACAGGACCAAACCTGGCCCCCTGAACAGCCTTCATCTAGTAGCTGATGGAAGCAGAAGCAGGCACCCACAGCTAAGCACTGAGCCATATTCCTGGAATCCAGGTGTAGAGGAAGGAAGGATGAGCAAAGCAGTCAAGACTGAGCTGAAGAAACCTGCAGAACCAGCCGACCTGACCTAGTGAGAGCACATGGACCCCAGTTGTAAGCTGGAGAACCAGTATTGGACTGAACCAAACCCTCTGAATGTGGGTGCCAGTTAGAAGGCCTGGGCAGGCTATGGGACCTCTAACAATGGAACCAGTATTTATTCATCATGCACAAATGGACTTTGGGAGCCCATTCCCTATGGAGGGATATTATTGCAGCCCAGAAACATGGAGGAGGGCCTAGGCCCTCCCCCAAAGGTTGAGACAGACTTTGATGATCCCCATGGCTCAACTCACCATCTTTGGAGAGTGGGTGGGGGTGGTTGGGGGGTGGGTAGGGAGCATGGGAGGATGGGAGGGGATGGGAACGGGGGATTGATATGTAAAATTATTGTTTCTAAATAATAAAAGGAAAAATGTCATTGCTAACAAGAAAATGGAAAGATCTCCCATGCTCTTTGATAGGTAGGATCAACACAGTAAAAATGGCAATCCTACCAAAAGTAATCTAGAGATTCAATGTGCAATCTTCATCAAAATCCTAGCACAATTCTTCACAGACCTTGAAAGAACAATACTCAACTTCATATGGAAAAACAAAAAACCAAGGATAGCCCAAACAAACCTGTACAATAAAGGGACTTCCAGAGGTACCACCATTCCTGACTTCAAGCTATTATAGAGCTATAGTAATGAAAACAGCTTGGTACTGGCACAAAACAGACAGGTGGTATCAAATCAAAGACCCCGATATTAACCCACACACCTATGAACAACCAATTGCTGACAAGCTAAAAATATAAAATGGAAAAAAGAAAATATATTCAAGAAATGGTGCTGGTATAACTAGAAGAATGCAAATAGATCCATATCTATCACCATGCACAAAACTCAAGTCCAAATGGATCAAAGACCTCAACATAAATCCATCCACATTAAACCTCATAAAAGAAAAAGTGGGAAATACACTTGAATGCATAGGCACAGGAGACCACTTCCTAAATAAAACACCAGTGTTACAATAAATATTTCCGCCAAAAGCCACCCGAGCCCACGTGGGTGGTCTCCGCCAGCCGCCTGAGTTCTGCCTGCCACGTAGATGGACAAAATAATACAGAGACTTATATTAGGTACAAATGCTGCTTGGCCAATGACTAGGATTCTCATCTGTTAGCTCAGTCTTATTTATCATAAAATCTATATATTTTATAAGACTTATCAGATGCCTTCCATTGGCGTCCTCCCTTGCTCGTGGATCACATCACGAATCTGAAGGAAGAGAGAGCCCACTTCCTTCTTCCTTGTTTATGTATGAGTGTTCCTGCTATGTCATTTCCTGCCTGGATCAACACTTCTTTACTACATTTCCCAAAATCCTCTTTGACTCCTAGTACTGTCTAACTTGGTTGCCTCATTGGCCAAACAGCACTTTATTCAACAATCAATAAGACAAACATACACAGAAGTACATTCCCCATCACACCAGTAGCACAGACACTGAGAGCAACAATGAATAAATGGGATCTCCTGAAACTGAGAAACTTCTGTAAAGCAAAGAACATGGTCAACAAGTCAAAACAGCTCCCCATAGAATGGGAAAAGTTCTTCACCAACCTCACATCTGAAAGAGGGCTGATCTCCAAGATACACAAAAAACTCAAGAAACTAGACATCAAACTACCAAATCATCCAATTAAAAATGGGGTACAGATCTAAACAGAGAATTCTCAACAGAACAATATCAAATGGCAGAAAGACACTTAAGGAAATCTCAAAATCCTTAGTCATCAGGGAAATGCAAACCATTCTGAGATTCCATCTTACATCAAATAGAATGGCTAAAATAAAAAATCCCAATGTCAGCTTATGCTGGAGAGGATGTGGAGAAAGGGGAACACTCTTCCACTGCTAGTGAGAGTGTAAACTTGAACAGCCACTGTGGAAATCATTATGGCGATTTCTCTGAAAACGAGGGACCAGCCTACCATAAGACCCTGCAATACTACTGTTGGGCATATTCCCAAAGGATGCACATTCATACCACAAGGACATCTGTGCAACTATGTTCACAGCAACATTATTTGTAATAGCCAGAACCTGGAAACAACCTATGTGTCCCTCAACTGGAGAATGGATAAAGAAAATGTGGTACATTTACACAATAGAGTAATACTCAGCACCAAGACACAATGACATCCTAAAATTCGCAGGTAAATGGACAGAAGTAAAAAAAAAAAAAACATCCTGAGTGAGGCAACCCAAAACCAGAAAGACTATATTATATGCTCACTCATAAGTGGATACCAGACATAAAATAAAAGATACCCAGCCTACAATCCGCAACCCCAGAGAAGCTTGAGTCCTCTTCCAGAAACAGATGGAAGATGTAGAGATTTCATGTCAGACCTCCTGATCTCTCTCCCTCTCCCCTTCCCACCTCCCTCCTCTCTCCCCCATGCTCCCAATTTGCTCAGGCGTTCTTGTCTCCCTCCCCTTCTTTGGGGGACCATACGTTCTTCTCTTGGGGTCCTCCTTGTTTCCTACTTTCTCTAGTGGTGTGTATTGTAGGCTGGTAGTCCTTTGCTCTATGTCTAATATCCATATATGAGTGAGGACATAGCCTTTTTGTCTTTCTGTGACTGGGTTACCTCACTCAAGATGTTTTCTTCCAGTTCCATCCATTTGCCTGCGAATTTCAAGATTCCATTGTTTTTTTCCACTGAGTAACACTCCACTGTGTAAATGTACCATACTTTTTCTATCCATTCTTTGGTTGAGGGGCATTTAGGTTGCTTCCAGGTTCTGGCTATTACAAACAGGACTGCTATGAACATAGTTGAACATATTTCCTTGTTGTATGAATATGCATTCTTTGGGTATATGCCTAAGAGAGGAATTTCTGGATCTTGAGGTAGACTGATTCCCATTTTCCTGAGAAACCACCATACTGATTTCTTTGGTGGTCGTACAAGTTTGCACTCCCACCAGCAGTGGAGGAGTGTTGTTCTTTCTCCACATCCTCTCCAGCATAGAGGAGGGCAAGAAAGGAGATGCTTTTATAGAGGGAGACAGTATAGGGTTGGAGCGAGGTCTGATACTGGGGAAATGTTCGGGGTTCCACAGGGATGACACCAACTAAGAATCTAGGCAATGGTGGAGAGGTTGCCTTTGATGACCTTCCCCTAAAGTGAGATTCATGACTACCTTGGTTGCTATTCCTAGAGCCTTCATTCAGTAGCTGATCGAAGCAGAGGCAGGCACCCACAGCTAAACACTGAGCCATACTCCTGGAATCCAGTTGTGGAGAGGTAAGAGGGATGAGCAAAGGAGCCAAGACTGTTCTGGATAACCCTGAAGAAACAATTGACCTGACCTAGTGAGAGCATGGAGACCCTAGTGGTAAAGCTGGGTAACCAGCATTGAACCAAACCAAGCCCTCAGAATGTGGGTGCCAGCTAGGAGGCCTGGGCAGTCTATGGGACCTCTAACAGTGGAGCCAGTGTTTATCCCTAGTGCACAAACGGACTTTGGGAGCCCATTCCCTAATGGAGGGATACTATTGCAGCCCAGATACACAAAAGAGGGCCTAGGTCCTTCCCCAAATCATGTGAAGGACTTTGATGGTCCTTTGTGGGAGGGCCTCACTATCCTTGGGGAGTGTGTTTGGGGATGGGTGTGGGGCATGGGAAGATGGGAGGGTGAGGGAATGGGGGAATTGGTATGTAAAATAAGAGTGTGTGTGTGTGTGTGTGTGTGTGTGTGTGTGTGTGTGTGTGTGTGTGTGTGTATGAATGAAGATGAAGAAATCCACAACTAAACATTGGGCGAAGCTACAACTGAAGTGAGGGAGGAGCAATAATATGAACAAAAGAGTCAAAACCCTGATGGAGAAACCCACAGAATCAGCTGACCAGAGCTTGTGAGAGATCACTGACTCAGGTCTGACAAATGGGAAACCTGCATAAGACCAAACTAGACTCCCTTAACGTAGGTGGCAATGATGTGACTGGGACGACATATGAGGCCTCTGGCAGTGAGTCCACCAATGCACATGATGACTTACTGGAGCCCATTCTATATGCAGAGATACCATGCCCAGCCTAGACACAGCGGTGTTGGGAGTGGAGAGGTGCCTTTGTCCTGCCTCAACTAGATGATGGGACAGATTTAGTAGACTTCCTAGGGGATGCCTTACCCTCTCTGAGGAGCAGATGGGAGGTGTGGCAGGGCAGGAGGAGAGGAGGTAGTGGGAACTGGGATTGGAATGTAAAAAAATAAATTAATAAAAAATTAAAACCAAATAAAAGTTTGTATATTTTGTTGTTGTTGTTGTTGTTTGAGACAGGGTTTCTCTGTGGCTTTTGGAGGCTGTCCTGGAACTAGCTCTTGTAGACCAGGCTGGTCTCGAACTCATAGAGATCCACCTGCCTCTGCCTCCGGAGTGCTGGGATTAAAGGCATGTGCCAACAACACCCAGTAAATTTGTGTATTTTTGTAATAAAAAATTTACTTTATCAACTAAGAAGACAGAATAGTATCTAAATAGTCTTTCTAAACTGGAGACCCACAATAAAATTTGTATGACTATTTTCTAAATCCTTCCAAAGATGGTACATGACTAGCTCCATTGCACAGCCAGGAAAGAAATTACTCATGTCGTTCAGTGGGTGCCATAGGGCATTAGGGTTTAATTCTCTTTCTGGAACTTAACCCAGATTGAGAAGGGCTAATCTAGGCACACTTGGCCTCCTTCTGGGAACCTGTAACAATTAAGCCTGTTTTTTTCCACTCTTTGTTTCCATCTTGTTGTTTTAAACCATTTGTGTTCCTGTTCTCTTTGTCCTATAGTATCTAATTTACCCAACCTGCAAACCAGATTGTCTTTTGTATAGCCTACCATGATATTCTTTCATTATTAGAGCTAATAGATACCAAACCAACTGAAATTTACTGAAGCATCTAGATAACTCATGTCTATGCTAAGAACATGAAAAATAAAGGTGGTGGCGCACGCCTTTAATCCCAGCACTTGGGAGGCAGAGGCAGGTGGATCTCTGTGAGTTCGAGACCAGCCTGGTCTACAAGAGCTAGTTCCAGGACAGCCTCCAAAAGCCACAGACAAACTCTATCTTGAAAACCAAAAAAAAAAAGAATATGAAAAAATTTTAAAACTTTAATGAGGTGCAAAATTTCTACACCTGTTACTAGCTGACTTTTGAGGGTTGAACTATTCAGGATTTTGCAAAGAATATACTTAACTCACCTAAATTCTTAATTGCTGATGAGAATTCAGGCTAGGTTACTTTTTTCTGGACTAGTTATACTAAAATTTCCTTTTGAGATTTTTTAAAAAAAATTATTAATTTGAACTGACCCTTGTTAAAATGAAATGTCTTTTGAATATACAACAACAAAAATCAAGCACCTGACAAAAATGAAAAGCCAGGAGATTTTTCAGCTTAAAAGCTACTTTAAGACAGGTGCTAAACAGCCAGTCCCTTTAGTGGTTACTAATCAGCTTTCAGATCTGCTTATCATTTTCAGATCCCAAGTATCCAGAAACAAGCTCTATAGATAAAGAACTACTGTGCTTAATCAGTCAGCAACATCAGTTTCTAACACTAAGGACATTTCACAATGATGAGAAAGTAAAGAAGATAGTGGGTCTTAACCTTATTAGACACAACTAGGGGTCTTAAAAGCCCAGGGACCCAGTGTGCACCCAAGATCAATTAAATGTTACTCTCCAGAGATGAGACTTGGACATCCATGCCTTTTATCCTGCACAATCTGACTCAGTGTCTGCACTACTGCTAAATCTATGCAATAATTCTCAGTCCTTAAACTTTCTGATCATCTGAGCTACACATACATTTGACCTGTGTATGCACTTGACAACTGTGGATCCTTTTTCATTCATTTGAATTGTAGGACACTGCATTCACCTGATTAACCTATTACTAGAGCTTGATTACAACTTATATCCATCATCCTTTAGCAATGGAGTATCTCCACACACAAATATTTAGCCTTTCTCCTCTCTATCAAATACATTAGATCTCCTCATGACACAATCTTGTTACAACCCGAGTTTTCAAACCATCTATATCAAATTTCTCTTTCTGGCTCAGATTTTTCCTAAACTCCGTATCTCCACCTGAGCACATCCTGTGCATGTTTAATCCATCAATTTCAATACATCTAAAATCATTTGACCATACTATCATAATTTCCTTTTTTCAGCTTCCCAATATTGTTTAATGATCAGTCCAGTACTCTTGTTATTTAGGCTAAA